ACAATGTACTTATGTTCTATATGATTTATATCCATATTTACTAATATTTTTTCTTCTAGACCCTTATTTCAGACAATGTAACTAAAACAAGTCTTTCTATTATCACCTTTGCATCATGCAGAGAGCTATCAATGATGTTGATTTTCGCATCTCAGTATCAATTAGTAACAGACTTGAATGCATTCATGGACTGTCTATATTCGTGTAATCTAAACTTGTTTCGCAAGGAAAGGCAGTTTGCGGCTGTACGTACATGTACATTGTAGGACACATAGTGGCTGAATCCACTTAGAGAGGAAAACTAATTTCTCGGAAATATTGATAACAAATATGGTGCTTTTTGTGTGCTGTGCGCAAGATATGGGGAAAATACAAAACCTTACTTAAACGTTCTCAGTAATGGGACAGGTGTGTGTGCGTTGTCGATTTTGTCTGCTTAGCAACTTTATGAGCACTAAATAAAAACAGAGTGAAACAATGTTGTATACCTTCATGAAGATTGGAAAGTGGAGTTTCATATTTGTTAATACTTGAAATCAATATACTATCTTCTCTTTTTTGGGGTTGTTGAATTATATATCATGGAACTAGCAGAAAAAATACGGGTCAATTATTTTCAGGATTTCTTTCCAAGGAACACACCAGTGCTTTGGATATTTTATTCTTATCAGCATGTTTTGAGTGGTAGTTATAATAATATATCATACCTAAACAAGTTAAGATTAACCTAAAGCACCAAATCCGTAAAAATTACCGATGCATTTTAAAGTATTTTAACAATAAAGAGTGAAAAAAAATACTCGAGTTTTTAATGACATATTTTTATTCCGAAGAAAAAAAGCATAAATTTTTATTTAAAAAAAGGTGTTATTTACAAATCAGCTACACATTGTGAGATCAACAGAAAAGACTAATTTTCGACGCAAATACATTATAACACATGTACATGAAAATTAAAGATAAAAGGATAGCACTGAATGTGTTTTCATCAAACGAAGACGACAAATATAATATCCTTATACTTATTGTAAATATACCTATTATCTCTGACAAAACTATGTAAACTCTTCAGGTGCTAATTTCCTAGATTTTGTCACATGTTGATGCCGATATGTTGCACAGCGCGATGAATGTGAAGCGTAAAAAAATGTGTAATGCACAGCTGTAGCATGTTCAAAACAAAATGTAATAGTCTATTCTTATTTATTATTAATTAATACCGGAGATTGTGTAAATATCTTACACACTCCATTGAATGTATTTCTTGTAAAATCCTTTCTATAAAATAATTAAAAAACAATTCAGACAGAATATTTCGTTATTTTAAAGATCTTTTATTCATAACTTTAAAAAAATGTTATCAATAAGGATTTTTTTTATCGATATGCAATAAAAAATAACATCTGCATTTTCTAAAAATAAAATCACAGTCACCATTCATAGGCGCTTGGTTTCAGTTCAAGTCGGCACACGATTGAAGGGCGTTATTCAATCATTTTTGAAGCTAGATCTCATCCTACACCGGTAAGAAAAGTGTATATAATGATTAAAATCAAGTGTGAATCGAGACACCCCCTGAAATCTAAGGTGGCAACTGTCGTACCTTAGTTCTTGGTCCTTTTTTATATACAATAGATATATTTTTAAAACGTGCTAATTTCAGCGATTTTTTATTTTTATTTTAATGAGTGTATTCAGACACACCTAGAAAAACACATAATACACAAAATACACCATGCATGCACCTGAAACCAAGCGCCTATGTCACGTACAGCAAATCTTCATTTTGAAACACTAGTGAACACGTAATGAATTTATTATTAAAAAATTATCACCAGTGCTGTAGTGTCTCAGGCTAATAAACTGATCATGAAACTGAAAGCAACGGATGTGACGATTTCTAATTAATGTAAAATGTAGAGGCGCCTCGGAATTACACGAAAAGCCTAGAGAGGTCAACCTTGTTCTATCTGCAAAGATTTAATGATGTTAAAGAAAAAGAAAACTAGAAGCGAGTGCTGCTCATAACTGCAAACTATCTCTTAAAGGAACGCTGGGGCGAAGAGTAAAATTCGGACTGTGCACATTGCTCCAAATGAACTTTTTTCCATAATAACTTCCGGAAATGCAATTTAACACAAATAGACAGTTTCTCCATAACTGTGGTATTGCTCTTTCTTGCCATAAACAAAGTAAACTTCAAAAATAAAAAAAAGTGAGTTGCTTTAATCGAATTTGCTGAGAGATAGTAAATTTGACGCTCAGGCAAAAAACATTATGAATTTTATCTTGACTTTAAAAACATTTATTCATTTTTTGGCAGTCTGTTGAGTGAAAATGTAAAATTTGTTCCAAAAATATTAATTGACAAATGTATTTCAAATTCCTAGCGTATGATACATGTAACGTGGAGAAATGCCTTGAATAAAAATATGTATGACTAAAATTCCAAGATATTAAATTTAACGAATGTGTAGATTTGTAAAACTTTCTATTAAATATCTTTTCACCACAAGAAACAGTCTCCCATAAATCTTGTTTCTTTATGATCTTATGACCAGTTTTTAAATTGAATGTTTTATAATTTGCATTGTTTAATTTAAATATGTTATAAAAAATGAAATTGTAATAAATACTTTTGGAGTGAGAGGTTATTACTGAACTTTTCTTAAAAGCCAACGAGTAACATACCTTATATAGCAACGTATATACGACATCATGTGATGTCACAGTCTCGAACCTTCAAACATATCCTCGTGCGGTTTGAAGAGGCGGATACAAGGTTTATTTTGAAGTAAATGTGTATCAAACAACTGTGCTCGCCCCTAGCGTTTGCACTGTCAACATATTACTTATTCCAATACAATAGGCAATTTAAATTCAAAATAATTCTAATGAATGTCAAATTGCAAACATTGCTTAGCGCTTTCCAGTACTTTCAGTACTTTGATTATATATTGTTTACATTTCTACAAAAAATGGTACCGTTTGTGATTCTGGTATTTTTTTTTTAATTTTATGGTGGAATTAGCTGATTATTTCTGAATCAATGGAAAAGTTTAACGTCTAAATTTCTTTATTGTACATGCGTCAATTTGTCTTTGTCCTGGATAGCAAGAAATAATATTAGAATTTAAATAAACGAGTGTAAGTATAAATAAGTATGCCAGAGCACATCAGAAAACCAAACTATATGTAGCATAAAATATGTTGAATATTCAAATCAAATTTCCCGGACATTGGTCATTGCATCTTATATGAACGAGTTATGTCAGTAGAGAATGAAATGTAATGTATTGAACTATAATGTTAGCTTATTTTTCCATGACAGTAACCGTTTTAAACGAAGATAGTCTTAACAATAAATTGTTAGGGAGTAAAAAAGCCACTTAACGAGGTTCGCTCCTGAGCTTTTGAGCAGATTTATATCTTAACCTATATCTCAAAAATTCTGCATAAAGTTTTAATTCTTACAATAAATTTGGATTCTACAATGTCAATTAAACTATATTCAGTTAAAACTCCCTATTTTAAGCTTAAAATTTGCACTATTTTAGTAATATCTAAAAATTACCATCACAGACCCCCACTTTTTATTTTATTTTCTGAATATATAAGATACTTTTAACCATTTTTCTTAAATTCAGTAAAATGTCATTACTTTGAAATGATTTTTTTGTTTGTTAAATTTTAACGTTGGTCGCGGGGTTACTGACCTTTTAAAATTGCCCGAAGACATACCATGAAAATTTGCTACATGAATCCTCTGATTTTATTTTATAGTATCTGAAAATTTAAAATTCGTCTGCATCGTTTTCATGTAATTAACCCCCAAACATACCATTGTTTTCGCAGCCTTTTCAACGTTATTCTATTGTTTTATATAGAGAAAACGTATTTTTTACTCGTTTTTCAGACAAGACTTGATATTAAAAAATATCAATATCTCTTAAATGGCGCAGACGAAATTGTTGCTTTTTTTAGCAAATGTCATGGAGATAATTTCGAATAAATACATGTAAAATAATTCATATGTCTTCGGGTTAGTTTTCTCAGAAATTAAATGCAGATATTTGCTTTTGAATAGCGAAAAACACTTTTTTTAAGAATTACGCTACTGACTCTCGCGACGTCATGCTTGACGTCGTGTATATTTGACCGATTTACACTGCATATAAAGGAAATAAAAAACAAATGAAAGAAGAAAGAAGTTTATATCCTTATACATTTTAATAAAGTGCATTTATGAATAAATTTGGAAGGGATTAAAAAGGGGGGATGAAATAACAAATGAATGCGTATATACCCGGTACTCAGCAAATTGACATAAATACGTGACAATAGCTTGAAGAAAATAATTCTCTCTTGTCTTAAAGACTTTTAAATTTTTGTTAGATAAAAGTCATATAAAATACATGTAATCTGCATTAGCTTGATTATCGTGTGAGCATTTCATTAATTCCCAGTTCCAAGAATAGAAAACTTAAAGCTAATGCCATAGATATGATTGATTGTAGACAGGATGTATACATATTCTCTCATTTACTTCCTGGAAGTAAAATCACAATGACGTTCTAAATTAGGATGATGCTTGTGAAAAGTACCGAGCTAGCCTTTCAACAGTTAAACTGATTTTTTTAATTTTCCCTTTCAGTACGTCCTTAAGCCCATCTTCCCCTGCTCTATGAAATGTAATCTGTAGGTGCTTCATGGACAGTCCATGCGACGCTAAGCTTGAACACTGGGTTTTTGTCAAAATATTATCCCTAATCAACTGGTCATAACTGTCTATATTTTTTTGTTTGTTTTGCGCCTTTTTAATATGAAGTGCGACATGTTCGACGGAAAATGCAGACTGGCGAAGAGAATCTGTAGCGCTGGGTATTTTCAGCAACATATGGCGAAGAACCATTACATCGTTAACAGCATTGTGGGCTTGGACCGGTAGCAGGTCTGTACCAAATTGTTGTACCAAATGCTGCAGCGTATAAGATGATTGGTTAGGGAATGCTTTTTTGGAAGACTTTTATAGAGTCGGAAAAACCAACAATAGTTTTAAGATGATTGGCAATTCCATGTCTGTAGAATGCAGATACTAAGATCCGCGCATCAAAAGACGCATTGTGAGCCACGATGAGAACTGAGCTATACTTATCCATCCATTCTGCAAACTTCAACAGTGCCTCCTTTTCCGCTGTGGATCTGACCGGAACCATGTCGGAATACATGGTGAAGCCATGCATTTCGATACCCGTCAGTCTCGAAACAGCTGTAGGAATGTATCCATTTGGAGGTCTTATGTAACTGGAAAAGGTGTCCTCCGTACCACAATTTCTTGCGACTATCTGAATTATTAAACTATCTGACGCTGAAAGGAAAAATACAATATAGTCTTTCAAGCTTGTAAAATACACTGTACACTAAAATTCACACGCACATAAAAAATAATTGCCTTCCTTAATATTTTTGTAACATGATATAGTCCAGTGGTTTCTAAATCAGCAACAATGATATTAGAGTTTTCAGAAGATTGTAGTAGAACATTTGATGGCTGTCTTTCAGATATGGGGATTTCTACAATAAGATCATCTAATTCATCATTCGACGCTGAAAAGTCTATATCTGTTGCGTACGTTGTACCTTCGCAGAGTTCCATTGTTGCCTCCGATGTCTGTGTCTGTTCCCTCAGTTTTAAACGATCTACTTTGGCTTTGTAGGTACTCTGGAAAAGTTGATTCTTTGACCTTTTTTTATCGAGCAAGCTCTGTCGTTTTTCTGTTTGTTTTCCAGGAGACAGGTTGCATGCCGAGTTAACCTTTTGAAGAAAACAAATTAATGCAAAATCTTACCCCTACTTAAGATATTCATTAGCTATCTTATCATTGTAATACGGATTATCTATTTTTAATTGAAAAAAAAATTAGGGTGGAAATTTTGCACTTAAAGTATATTTTGTCATGAATATTTTTACGTACGAGTATACATAGATGCTGAGTACTCTTTGGCAGGGATCCACGCCCCCCCCCCTCCCCTTCCACACCCGATAAAACGTTTGTAATAACCGGATTACTTCAAAAGACTGTTTTTGAACATTCCAAAGGAATGCTTTTTTTTCGTGTTTGGACACAGTTTGTTTGTTTATTTGTGTGCGAGTGTTTTTGTTTGTTTTTTTGTTTGTTTGTTTTTTTTTTGTTTTGTTTGTTTGTTGTTGTTTTTTTGGTTTGTTTGTTTGGTTTGGGTTTTTTTTTTGGTACTTATTTAACAATTTTTGAGTTTGTAATGTTAATTGGTATCATTCAAGGGAAATTCCTGAATTTGCTCTTGGCCTCTTTTGTAATTTGACTGTTTAAAAATGTCACCCCCCCCCCTCCCCCATCCATGAAACGGAAAAATGTTGATCCGCCCCTGTTACCGTATATGATTATAATGTACTTTATTAAAATATTAAAACAGCTTTACCTGCAAAATATATTTGTGACCTCTATGTCATCTTTGTTTTACTGAATAGCATAAGTAAAACATTTCTTGAAGTATTTTATAGTTTTGACAGAGAGACCTCCATGGGTTTCTTTGACCTTGTATAATGCGTTCGACAAGTTCCGAACTACATGGTTTTTATCGCTACATTTTGTTATATTTGAAACTGCCTTTTTAGTTCTCAAAAACGTAGTGCTGTCGTCATCCATAATTAGTTTTCGTACATCCAAGCCTTTCTCTTTCAGCGACTTTATGCATTTCACGGTAAGAAAAGGTTCCATACCTTTAGCTGAACCGCTCCAGTTTTTTCGACAGCTGTGAGATTTACATAAGCCTCTTGATCTCTTTCGATACTGGCATTTTCTGCAAGACTTGCACGCCACACCGAAAGAAAGGCATTTTTTGTGTTCTTTCCAACTACCGTTACATGTCCTTCAAAACAAGCATAACAAAAAATTAGTAATGAGACGAAATTGGAACGATTGTCACTGTATGTTTCATTGATGGAATAGCCACTGCTCAAGGATATGCTTAACGGTGACCAGAAATTTTATACAAGTACATGTATTTAGAAAATAAGGGTGGGGGGGGGTTGTGTTGCTGAAGTTTGATTTTGAAATACAGGTATTTAGTATTAGCTTCACTTTCATATTTACCAGATAAACTATTATAATTGCGTCCCGTTCCTCTCTTTTGCCAGCCACCATCGCATGAAACTTCAGCGCCCTTGTCGCAACGTAGATCCGGTGCGTCTCCGCTGATGAAGAATATTTTTAAGATTAATTTTGAAAATGCAAGAAATGATAATTAGCTAATAAAACACCACTGGAAAATAAATTTTAGACATTTAACTCCTTCTTATATCAATTTTGTTATAAGATGGCCCCACTACAAGTATTTAATGCATTTTATGGAGTAGTGTGTGGAAAGGGGGGGGGGGTAAATAATTTTTTTTATGTATTTGGGAATATGTTATGTAAATATACCTATTAGAGCATAGGATTTCAGTCTGTATTGCAGCATTACAAGAATTCTCTGCAACATCCTCCATAACACATCCTATTTCTCTTTCTCGTTCTTTTAGAGTTTTGTGATGAATGGAAGGGAGGTTTAGCTCAGCGAGAATATTATTAACCTGCTGTTCCCCTATACCAGCATGCAATATTGCTACAATCAATATAAACATCTTTTATCCCCCGTAAACAGCTGTCAAAAAAAAACAAAAAAACCAAAAAAAAAACAAAAAAAAAACCCGAATATTTTCTTTTTATTACCGGTATTTAATAATTGACAATTCTTGATATTTTTATTTTTCTAAATTCTTGTACATAAATACATATTTCAAAGTAAGTTTTATATCTTTTGTAAATAGTATTATTAATGTGCATTAATACGTATTTACGGATTTAAGTACTATAGTACTCTTGTTAAGGGGAAAAATACCTGCAGCAAGCTTTTTGTTAACATCAAAGCATCTTAGCGGTACTTTCCCATTCGAATTCGTCGTGTGTCTCTTGCCGGTAGGCACTGAATTCAAGTTGTTGCATTTAACACACTTTATGTACAGAATAGATGCCAATCCATACTTTCTCTCGTCAACACAAGCATCTAATCTTAAGTTGTCTTTGCAGAAAACGCACTCTTTCAAACCTTGAGCCAATACGCTTAGCTCCACTATTCTTCTCCCCTCAGCCCAGGAATTATTTTTGTCTTCTTGTTCATCTGTACCGCTTTGCTCTTTCTTACCATCATTTACGGAAGTGTTTTCTTTTCGTTTTAGATTTTCGAAGCGATTTCTTTTTCGTTCAGAAATAAATTTTCCTTTGTGCTTCATGGTACCCGAGTCGTTTTTCACTTGTGACGTTGATATATTTTAAAAATGACGTAATAAAATTTGCGCCAAACTTTTTAAATATATTTTGTTCGATTTTTTTTTTTCATTTTGTATCTTAAAACAAATATTCAGCAATAAAATAAAGATGTTTACTAATTTTATTATCATGATAATTATGTTTGTAGTTGTTAAAATTGCTGTATAAATACCTTGTGATCACTTATCGAGATGAACAAACAAAAATAAACAAAGAGAAAAGAAGAAAAAAGAGAAAAGATCGATAAATTAAAAAAAAAAAATACGAATAAATAATTGCAAAACACTAGCTCTTCTTCTTGTAAGTTATTATCTGTGCTTTCGGTCTAAACCATTCAAATATACAATTTTATTTTTTTAATTAACTACAGTTGTATAGCTATAAATTAAAATACTTTTTCCATTACAGAATATATTTCTTACATTTTAATTTAGTATGCATACTGTAGAACTACAAAAACCAAAGGTTTTGTCCTCTAAAATGTGAAGTCATAATCAAATGTGCACAAGAAAGTCACTCGGATCATAAGAATTGCGTACCCAGTTTTAATGACGTCAGCAAACCCGCGACCCTCGTTAATGCCAGAAAAATGAAATTTTTTGAGTGCAAAAAGGTCAAATAATTGAACATGCGGAGTAATTTGAAATGTTTTTTGTTGTCACTAATTTTGATGTGTCTCTTCAAGATGAAATAAGGCTGTGTTTGTTCCCATAATTTATTTGAATAAAAAATGTTGGAGGAAAAACTGTAAAAATTGATTTATGTGTAAGACGTATTTACAGTGCAAAAAGGTCAAACTAAATGCTCTGTAGCGCCAAAAGAAGCGCATTGACCCCCATTTTTAGTTTTGATTTTTAATTAAGCTATGTGTATAAATTCTAAAAATATACTTGATAAAAAATTCTCATTACTTTTGATGGCAGGATCCAACCTCCTTAATGTATTTAAGAAAACCTTTACATCCTGACCATTATCCCGAGTGTTGTTATAACAACTACCTAAGAAGCTTAACAACATTTGGCCAGGACACATGAGGGGAACTTAAGCCGTTTTTACTAGTACCTTCCTTACTTTTACCATACAACTACTTTATTTATCGAGTTAAGTATTATTTAGACTTTACAATGACCTAGTTGCTTAAATACCAACTCTCTGGCTGAAATATGAAGAAACACTTTTTGGGAGACCTATTAAATAAATGTCACTTCCTGGTACGCTGTATTACCGCGTATAAGTTGAAGATCTCTGTGTGATACCAAGTTTAATTGTCCACTGTGGATATTTTGATGTTATTGAAGAGGAAATGGTTCCGTGCAGTATGTATATGCGTATTCTGCGGGATTTTGTTTTGTTTATTTTTTATTTGTTTTTAATAAATTTAATTTCTTTTAGTCCGTTAAATTCTCAACAACAAAGGGGTCCTCTATCCCATTAATGTGAATTAATATCGTAAACATTATTCATGAGAAAATATATATATCATTACAAAAAGCACTTTAAAAGTATGGCTTGATATTGCACGAAAAAATTAAATTTGAAATAAGTGTAAACTGAATAACAGAAGAGACCAAAAAATCTGAAACATAGATTTGTAAGTCCAGGCTAAAATATGTACTCTCATCAACTAGTTTTAAACTACCCACAGGAAGGTGAATAAAAAATATGTATGAAAATAAAATAAGTATTTCAGCATGGTAATTGGAATTTGATTTGAGAGATGGTTCGTGCTCAACGTTGAGGAAAAAGTCATCCATATAATGTTAAGAAATCGAAAGATTGTTTGCTATCCAATAATGTTCAAGATATGACAGATCCCATTTTACATCATGTTTTTAGTTATACGAGTCATATATCATCGTTGTCCATTTTTATTTATTTGAGTACATACATGTACATACATGTTACTAATGTCTTCGGCGCACAAAAATAGTGATGGCTATTTAGAAATCATTTCGGGGAAAGTAATCTTCTTTCATAAAACGCAAGACATGTTCATCAATTCGAGCATAAAATAAAAGATAGCGCTAGTAAACGAACCTTGGAAAATATTTCTATCTTTAAATAAAAAGATAAATTTGTTCTTATGTTTTAATATTAACAAGCACCATATTATATTCTTACTTTTGCCGCAGTTTAGCCCAATAGGGTTTATAATGTTTATATTGTTTAATATAAGCAAACATTTTTGGTATATTTCATTATTGATTTTAAATATTCATGAGATCAATTCCTTTACATTTTTCATTAGATGATATATTTTTCTAAGTTAACTATTTCAAATCCTCGCTATATAAAAAAAAAAAAAAACCCTTAGAATATATAACCAAATTAATCAAGCAAGAATGACGATGGGCTTGCAGAATTAATCCAAGCTCCTCTGAAATACAATTAAAATAATGAGCCTTACAAACCAAGACAATATTGTTACCTGCTTTGTCAGCGGGGTCCAGTACATATTGATGGTGTAATCTATCTCTTTTTTTTCTTCTGAATTATTGAAACCGCACAATCTCTAAATGCGAGATTTCAATATGTATCTGATACTTGTAATCAATTTTGAGAATGAATTAAGGCCTTTCTTTTCATGTTTCGCCCATTGCATGGCGTAGTTTTCCACACAATTCATAATATCATTATCTATGACATTATGACGCTAGTTGTAAGATCGGGATTCCCTGATTTTTTGGCCATTTTAGTATAAGTGATTTAAGGTACTCATTATTAACAATACGTACATCATCAGCAATGATATATCAAGCAAAACTATAGTTGAAGGGTGAAGAAAAACATGATCACATTGGAGGATTATGTTGTCGATGTTCGATATCTAGGCAATGTAGAGTTTTAATCATGATAATCAAGCTAATAATCATGTCTAATAACGTTGGAAACAATGTTCAATAGATTATGAATACAATATTACAAAACTGACGATAACAAATAATTTTCAAAACATGGAACGAAATAAAGCATATTAAATTATATTAAAGATTTATTAATACATGAACACTGCACAAGTACTTCGATCTCTCTAAGTTTCAGGATAAGATTTTTTAAAGTTTCAAATAACAAAGGACATTTTTTATATTTTTTTTTATTTATTTATTTATTTATTTTTTTTGCAATTTTGTTTCTGACTTGTGGTAATCAAGAATTATGTGGATCAAAGAATGAATAACCGGTATTTACGATTATCGTAAAAAGTTGATTTTGCACTTCAATATTTTCAATGAGTGTCTATGATGAAAATTTAGAAAGAAAACCAATTTTTCAGAGCAAGCACAGACAACAATGATTCTTATCACGGTACACTTTCTTCTGTTTGCAGTACATGCAAAGGCCTACGGTAAGATTTAGAATATTTCCTTGATATGTAAATATATTCAGTCATAACAAATATGAATATTGCATTCAATTATGATATATTTAAACAAATGCGTTCTATACATTGTCTAAAAAATAAAAGAACTTCGTAGAAATAATAAAAAAATATTCATAAAGAAAATATCTTTAAAACTTATAAAACGTTTTTGGTGATATGGTCACAATGTTTTATCAATTGTATCATTTAACATATTTAGCGCACAAAAGACAAAATAGGCTAAGACCCCTCTTTTGCCACTGCTTGAAGAACGTTTTAGAATGATGCAAAATTTTGTAATTAAAACAAACTGTAATTATCCTTCTTTTAAAATAAGAATTAATGTATTTTATACACAGAAGCCACAAGAAGATAAAAAAAAAATGTCAACCACCATTTCTCATTTATTTATATTTCAGTCTCGGGTCATAATCAAAATGGCGTCGATTTGAACAAAATACTAGTGAGGTCACCTCAGTTTTATCAATCGTTACGTCTAAATTAAAACTTGTGCAAACCTTATTATTTCTTGAGACAGAATTTTGACTTCAATACTGATAAAATTCTCAGTTAAATTGTCTGGTATAACCCTGAATAAATGGAAGTGGAATGTATTCCCAGGCATGAGGTATCGTTGGTCCTCAGATTGTGAACATTTTTATTACTCCAGTAAGCTCATGTGCTTTCCCGACAATTTTCAATATTATTAAGATCAAGTATTTGGGCTTGCTATTCAAGTGTTTGAATACCCTTTCTGATCATAAAATCGTTGAAAAATCTTGTCTTCCTTAAATACATACCGATTGCCCGGGAAATGCCTGGCTATAACAGGCCCTATATAGTTTTCAATGATTTCAATGTATTTTTCAGCACTTATATTCACATCAACAAAACATTAAGTGCTTACACTGTAAATTGGGAAATATATTCACACCATTAAATCAAGGCGTCCAGGAGAGTATGCTACTAAAGGATGGGGTCCTACTCGTCGTCGTCCTTTCGCTACCCATACACGCCTTGTTCTCCGCAACTGCCTTTCTGCTAATCACATTATATTTCTTGCACTGATATCAGAAATATATTGAGTATCAAAATCTCAAATAAGCAACTCTGCGCTTTGTTTTATACAAAACATGAAAAGTATCTCAGATTTCAAGAAATTACATCAAATTTAGGAAATAAGAAAAAATGTTTTACTTTATCAGCCTCACGTGGTCTCTAAGTTTCTTTCCAGTCTAAATCATAATAGTTTCATAATGGGCATAATCTACAATTCTGAGCTTTTCGCAGTTTCATTGTTACTTTATTTTAGGTTCTTTGTAAACCTCGATTCAATGATTTTTCGATGGAAATTGCATTGGTTAAAGTATTTTCAAGTCCGAAGAATCAGTTTTTTAAATCTTTCATTTTTGTATCGTATTCCAGTCAATTTAGCTTTCAAAAAACCTGCCTGGCAGCAGAACAATTGGCCCAAGAAAGAGATCGACTGGGGAGCGAATAAGTCAGTGGACGGACGGTTTACAGACCGCTCACCAGGAGGAAACCAGTGTACAATATCAGCTCCAGGAAGAACAGCGACACTAAGAGTAGATCTACAGAGTGTGGTCAGGATCAGTCGTATCCGAATCTTCTACAGGACCGATAATACACCTAGTATGCATTTAGTTACGAACACTTTTATTCCATATTTTGATTATATTGCCATAAGAAAAAACCCACAAATAATATATATATATATATATATATATATATATATATATATATATATATATATATATATATATATATATATATATATATATATATATATATATATATATATATATATCACTTGTTTACAATCATATGTATAATAAAACAAATGTTAAACCTGCAATATTTCAGAAAGAATTACCTGCCCAGAAGGCTCATTTGACATTCGAAATTCAAAGCGTTAGGTTCGAAATTCGAATTTGGAGATTGAATATCTAATTAATCAATCAGAAGTCTTTCACGAGATTCTGAATATGAAAAGGGAAATTTGAGTTTCGATACTCAATATCTTTATTAACTTATTAAAATAGAAGTTTTAATAAATTATTGGAAAAAGCAAGGTCGTATAATCCAAAAATGACAGATATGATTTGGACATTAAGCACTTCTTAGAACATGACCGAGATTCGTGTTTAAAATATACAAGACAGGGGTTAATACTCTGCAAAATGACATAAACGAAATGAGCTGTTTGATTTGCTAGAATGAAATGTTTAACTAAAAGGTTACAGGCTAAATAGATGCCATATCCCAGAATATTATTTGAACATATGTTAATACGTTAAAGTATTGAAAAAATTTATTTGTTCTGGTAAAATGTTGTACAGAATTATAAGGGGGCCTATGACAAATCTGTCCAAAATATCAATATAAAATACAACCGATTTATCAGCGGTCATATATATAGCCAAATGTGTACGGTAATTAAGACTTAAAATAATTATATCATTTAATGAATTATTTGCAAAGTTTTTGACGAAATATGTTTTTATAAACAACTGACATTATTATGAAAATCGATTCCAAAAAAGTTTTCAAAGACATTTTTATTCGCGCTGTTTAGCAATAACGGTTGTTCTTATTCGAGTACATTATTATTATTATTATTAGTGAAATATTTTCTTTGTTCATTGAATAACATATGCCCATAATATACAAATCTGTACATTTTAAGATAAAATCAAGGGAGATCAGGAATTATCAGTAAAAGGGGGGGGGATTTAAAATGCTTCATTACAAGGGTCCATTATAAACAAGATTAACCTCAAAGCTTTTAAATTATGTGTATTTTTTTGAAAGAAGAATTGTACTGCTCGTAATGAGTTTTAAAAAAAACAACAAACCGGAAATATATCCCTTCACAAAGTGACGAGAGAGAGAGCATTAAACTGTTTAAATTTTTTTTTAATGTTTTCTGATTTTATGATTTTATGGCGTAGACAAGAAAAAAAAATAAAAAGGATATTACATGCAGGGTTGGTAAAAAACTGGGAAATACTCATATTTCCCAAGACAGTGGGAAATACTGGTAATTACCGGGAATTACTGGTATTTCTCGGGAAATACCGGGAAATAAGAAATAGCTACATATTTCATTCATATTGACACGTAGTCCACCTTATTGGCTAAGATATATACCTGGTTATCACTTCCCTGATTTAAAAATTTCTGGTTTCCAAGTAATTCATTTTATACAATCATAACACAGTAAACCCATATACCAGTCATGAATATCATTTGCTTCATGCTTGAGTCAGAGGTAGTCTATAAAGGTCCATGAAATGAATACAAAGATCCCAATTTGGTTTTTTATGTAACTAAAGAAGGATCTAATAAAATTCTTAATGTAGAGTATGGTGTAAATATCAAATCTAAGAAGAATTCTTTCAGTTCTGCTCAAGGTAATTATCTCTCAAAACAGGAGCACAAAACTGTCCAGAACAATTTGTTAAAACAACATGATTGTTTGTAATAACTACAGTGTTTATAGAAGGATTAAAAACAGTGCGACATTTATCTCCGGACACGACATTTGTCCGGACTTTCGCCAACCACTTTTTTAAAGATATTATATAACTTTTAATATTGTATGGTGGGATTTTGTACTCTCATTATATTTACCAATTATGACACCTGTGTTTTGTATATTGTGGGAGATATAACACCTGAAAAACAAAAATCCCATAGGATTTTGGTGGGATTTCTTATTCTACTTGATATCCCACCATAATCCTATAGGATATTTAAAATCACATAAAATATTGTCTCCCACAGAATTTTTAGTTCCATTTTTGAACTGATATGGGATATTTTGTCCCAAATATGAAGAATTAGGAGAAAATATTCCATTTTTCACATATATAGGAATAAACGTCTCATATCTAATACTTTATAGAATATTTTTATCCCATGGAAATTAATCTAAGATATAACATAGAAATTTTCTTCAATTAATTAGTAATTAGCATTGGATAGTCAAAATGGCAAAGTAAAGCTGTCTTTTTTTTTTTTTTTTTTTGGCAATGTTTTGTTAAATTCTTATTATGTCTTTAAATTACAGTTGTCTAATTCACAGTTGTAAGACTTGTTTATAGACCTAGTTGTTACCAAAATGTAAGCCTACAAGCCTAATTTATGATTTAAGTACACTCATGTACTTATTGTGTTACTGTCTGACTTATATTTGTCATAGCATTCTTAACACTTGTTTCTGTCCAACACACGATCATACTGAAAAACAAAATGTATTTTTTTTATTTACACCTGTGTTGCTATCTCTACCTCAGTACCTGTTCATTAATTGCTTTACCATTACTCACGCGCTTAGATTTGCGTTGAGGTGATTACGGACTAATTCAAGCATATAAACCAATATCTCAATAAAATGATTATAAACGAGACTAAATTGATTTAATTGTACGTGAATTAATCCTTTCAAGCAAAGATCAGCCTTCAACTCTTCTTTCCGAGTTCCTGCATCTCTGTTGCAACAATGCATTTGCAGAATGTATATTTTTCACTACGAATATAAAGCGTAATGGAGACCTTAATCGGTAATGGGTGGATTCGTCCCGACTGTGTGGATTGACTCCAGAAGTTTCGTCCCCTTTTATTGCAGGTTAGTATAACCCTGGTTGAAGAAAGGATATATTGGAGTGGTTTTGCCTCAAAAAGCATACTCCTCTTACAATTATCATTAGGTGTCATAGCATGAGATGTGTGTGTGCGCGCGTCTTTTTTTCGAAGGAGGGGGGGGGGGGGTCTTGCTTGCAGTGACAATGTGGTGACACCAGTTAAATAGAGTATTCAGTGTATAACGATTATATTTTGTACTTTGTAAATGAATGTTCCTAAATTATATCATCATGGTAGCATTTTGAAGGTGTTATCGAAGAAAAGTACTCAACCAAAGGAATTTACAAATTGATTACACTTTGAATTTTACAATGAAATCTTTATCAGCATATGTTATATTAAGATGAAGAAATAAGGACAGTTATGCTGTTTTTTTTCTCATCATTATCCTTCAGAAAAAAGGACTTTGTATTTCATAAACATCTCTTGGTAAAATATGCATAAACTCTCTCTTTATTAAAACGTGAAATAAAATGAATCATCTTCCAGGACCACAGTTTTTCCAGAAGTAAAATTAAAATTTTCTTCTTTTTAACAAGTGAAGATAACTTTTCAAAAACGTTTAAGATGCAAATTGGCCATGCAGCTTCTAATATACTATAAGACATATATGAATTTGATTCGATTCACTTTAATTATCTTGCATTTATAAATATTTAACTAGTTTAAAATAATTCAAAATTGATAAATATCTCCCATGATACTTTTGAACACCTTAAAGGACCAGGCAATATATCAACACCAGTGTGGGATCATGCAGTGGAAAGTATGATGAGACAGGAACTTTTTGGGGAATTCATTAGGTTTATATGCATGAGCAATGTTTTTTTTTTTCAGTTTAATGAAGATGGACATTTATATCTTGTATAAAGCAAACATTATCCCTAAAACAAGCCTTTCTGAGAGTATTCCATTATCTATATTAAAAAAAGTAAAACAAAGTGGGAAAGACTAGCTGACAAACAGATGGAGGGAGAGGCAGACTGTCAGACAAGGATGAAACCTATATTGACCTCAGGGGTCTAATAAATACCTACAAAATGCATGCAGGTACCGGTATCTAACTATATTAAACCTAATATTTATTTTTGAATATTAATTATTATGACTGTGTATTTAAAATGCAGCTCAAGAACACTTCATTCACAAGCTCCTCCTTTTTCAAAAATTTATTAAATTTTTAAGACAGCTGGCCTTTAGTAGAAAAAAGTCTCTCGTTTCCTTAAACATTTCAAAACTATATTACATTTTACATATTATATTACATATTACAAATTCAAATATCAGTTTAGATTTACAAAGTACATGCTAACACAAGAAAATCTATACCAAATTTGCTAAATTTCACTTAAAAGTAAAGAAGTTATGGTCATGTAAGAGAACACATCAGTACGATTGACTGAGTATAACATGATGATGGATTCTCCCTATGAAAATTTAAATCCTTTTACAATTTATCATTTCAGATTTAGAAAGTACATGCTATTGCAAGTAAAAAAAAACAAATTTGCCAAATTTATTTCAAAAGTAAAAAAGTTATGGTCATTTAAGAGAACACTAAAGTGAGTATAACATGATAATGGATTCTCCCTGTGAAAATTTAAACCCTTTTACAATTTATTATTTTAGATTTAAAAAGTATATGCTATTGCAAGAAAAACAACACCAAATTTGCCAAATTTCATTCAAAAGAAAATAAGTTAAGTCATTTAAGGGAACTACTCAGTACGATTGACTGAGTATAACATGATGATGGATTTTAAGTCTTTTTACAATTTATCATTTTAGATTTAGAAAGTACATGCTATTGCAAGAAAAACAAAACCAAATTTGCCAAATTTCATTGAAAAGTAACAAATTTATAGTCATTTAAGAGAACACACCAATATCAATTTACTGAGTTTAAAATGATGATGGATTCTCCTTATGAAAATTTAAGTCTTTTTACAATTTATTATTTTAGATTTAGAAAGTGCATGCTATTG